ATATATATATATATATATATATATATATATATGTATATGAACACATTATCCTGTGAACTTAGAGTTAGTCATTCAGAAATGGTCATGGGTTTACAATGAAACATCCATACTCAACTTTGCCTAATTCTTTCAAAAATAAATACACCTCCTTTCTAGAAGGCTAGACATAGTTAGGGCTGCAGTCTTGTAACAGTGTAAAAAGGGAACTGGTTCTCACATAGATTTCCCAATAGCTTTAGCAGAATCTAAGGACATGAACTAAAGACCACACAACCTCAAATTCCTAAGGAGAACACCATTATCATCATAGAGAGAATCATGTTTTAAAAAACAATATTTTCTGATGTTAAAACTGTGCTTGTTTGTTTTTGTTTTTGTTTTGTTTTATTTAAAAACTTGAGTTTTTAGAGCAGTTTTAGGTTCACAGCAAAATTTAATGGAAAGTATAGATATTTCCCACATGCCCTCCTCCCACATGTGCATATTCTCCCTCATTATCAGCATCACTCCCCAGAATGGTTCATTTGTTACAGTTGAGGAACCTACATTGACACATAATCACTCAAAGTCCATAGTTCACTTTAGGGTTAGTTCTTGGTGGTGTACATTTGATGAGTTTAGACAAATGTACAATGACATGTACCCATCATTATCGTATCATTCAGAGTTGTTTCATTGCCCTAAAACTCATCTGTGCTCCGTCCACCTGTTCATCCCTTTTCCTCTGCACTCAACCTCTGGCAAACACTGAGCTTCTTTACTATCTCTATGGTTTGCCTTTTTGGAATATTATATCCAAATCATACAGTACGCAGCCTTCTCAGATTGGCTTCTTTCACTTAGTAATATGCATTTAGGGTTCCTCCATGTGTTTTCATGGCTCAATAGTTCATTTTTTTAGTACTGAATAATATTCCATTGTATACATGTACCACAGTTTATGAATTCATTCAACTACCGAAGAACATCATGGTTGTTTCCAAGTTTTGGCAACGATGAATAAGGCTGCTATAAACATTCATGTGCAGCTTTTTGTGTGGGAATGAGTTTTCAACTACTTTAGTACATACTAAAGAGCACAATTACTGGATTGTATGATATGTGTATGTTTAGTTTTGTAAGAAACCACCAAACTATCTTCCTAAGTGGCTGTACCATTTTGCATTCCCCTCAGCGATGAATGAGAGTTCTTGTTACTTCATATCCTTGCCAACATTTTGTATTGTCAGTGTTCTGGATTTTGGCCATCTGATAGCTGTGCAGTTTTAATTTGCATTTCCCTGATAACGTGAAGTGCAACATCTTTTCACATGCTTATTTAACATTTGTATATCTTCTTTGGTGAGGCATCTGTTAAAGTGTTTGGCCCATTCTTTAGTCAGGTAGTTTGTTTTCTTACTTCTGAGTTTTGAGGGTTCTTTGTAAGTTTTGGATAATAGTCCTTTATCAGATGTGTCTTTTTTTGCAAATATTGCCCTCCCAGTTTGTGGCTTGTCTTCTCATTCTTTTGAACTGCGCTTAGTTTTAATATCAGAAAATAATGAATGCTTTCAGGGTAATAAGGAAGAACACTGATTCTGATACTAAAAGCACACCAAAATTTCAATTTTATAGAACAGCCCTGGATCCAGTATTTTAGGCTCTGAGCAAATGGTTATTCTTAAATTTTCAATGAGTTTTTATGCTTTATGATGAAATATTAAAAACAATAAATCTTGAAGAGTCCAGTTTCCCAAAATTATAGCTTATATTTTGGTCACATTCTGACATATATCTTTGTGAATGCTTTAGAAGATGCAGTTGAGACTCTGTAAAGCAGTGTCATCACTGTATCATAGTTTCTTATGTGTTATAGTTCATAAACACTTCCAAACATGTTTTCTCTTCCTGTGGTACCATCACTGGATGCTGTCTAAACTCTGGAGTAAGCATCTGATAACTTGTCCGAGAGTCACTGCCTTATCCAGCTGTTACTGTTAACAGGTATTGAGATGAAAATACAGAAGAAAATTTGGTTGTCTCTGAGTGTCAAAGTAGAGAAATTCTGAAAGTATTACAGAGCAGAAAGGAGATTTAGTGAGAGGAGAGGCATTTTTGCTGCTTTTGGCCCCAGAGAAGAGATTAATAATGTTGGCAGGCTGCAGGGTAATAGCACTCTGAGGCACTCCCTTCCCCACCTAAGCCCGTCTCCCAGGATGGTCAGGTGCTCAGTGATTCTTATTCTAGAAAACTCAGAAATGAAAAGGGGTCAAGATGGGGCTGATCAGTGTCTCATCAGGCAGCTATTTGAGTACCAGCTTGCAGATTCCTGTGATTCAACAGTTAATTAAAGGGGGGGGGGAGCTCTTTCCAAAAATATCCTATTCTGCTAGCTTAGCTTATGTCTAAAATTGTAGCACTGCAGAGTCAATTTTTTGGCACATACAAAGTGTGGGTGTTTTTGGTTGATTTTTTTTTTTGAGATGGAGGGGATGTTTTGTCTTGTTTTAATCCAAATGCTGAGTACAAATACCCCCTGCGGTGGGTAATATCCTGGCTGTCATCAGCCTTGACAGATTTGCTTATTAAAAGGATTTCCAACTCTAACTGTTAAGATCAAGACCTTTGTGATAGAAAGAGAGTTAAGGGTTGATGAGTTATGCAAGTGTGTGTGTGCGCGCGCGTGCGTATGTCTTTTGGGGCATGGATTGAGGATTAAAAAGAGATGTCTCAATAATGGGACCAGAGACCCCCTGAATATTGATGTGGGATATGCCAGACAAATACTTCTTGTTTCATGACTTCCCTCATACCCATGACTGACCCTGAGAGTATCAGTAAAGAACTTTAATATGCATATAAATCGAATAAGGATCTTGTTTCTATAGATTTTTATTCAGTAAATCAGGGTGGGGGGCAGAGGAGAGGCTGAGATTCTGCATTTCTAATAAGCTCCTAGGAGGAGCCATGAGCTACGTTTTGAGAAGCAAGTACCTTGCAAGCCCTGGGGTTTGGTTCATATCTAGGTGGACCAGCTAAGGACTGATTCAAGCTCTAAGGAAGCCCTCTAATTGACTCAGCTTCCCTAGGGGACAGAAGCATGGTCACTGCTGCCCATGACGGTGGTCTTGAGGGCCCTGCCAGGCCTGCTACAGAGCGGACACACTCAGGACAAATGTATTTGCTTAAGGCCAGCAGCTCAATCCCTGACAAACATATGGTAAATGTAATGGTCTGAAAATCAGCTGACATGTTTGTGCCAAATTCTACTTTTGAGTCTTGGGAAATATTTTTTCCTCATTGGGTTTTATCTACTCCATCCTGAGTTTTATTTTGACCAAAGCAGAGTTTCTACTTTGCAGGCTAATCTGAAACCGGCAAGATTTTTTGGCCTCAGGTTTCTTATTGAAAGCTATGCACACTTTTGTCAGAGAGCAGAGTTCACCTCAAAATGCAAATCTTGCAGTAACAATGTTCTAATGCATTATGAGGTTGTGTGTATCAAAAACCCTTCAACTTACAAAGATACGGAGGTTGGACAATTAAGTTTGTGAACTCATCCTAGAAAATGTGCTGTATACCTTATTGCTGAATATCACTATGGTCATCTTTGAAGTACTCCCCTTGGGAAGCTATGCACCGATGCCAGTGCCTAGTCTACCCTTCAAAGCAATTTTGAAACTCTTTTTCTGGAATGGCCATCAGAGCTGTCGTTATATTATCTTTGATGTCCTGAATGTCATCAAAATGCCTTCCTTTCAATAAATATTTCCTTTATCTTCAGGTAAAGAAAGAAGTCACTGGGGGTCAGATCAGGTGAGTAGGGAGAGTTTTCCAATACAGTTATTTGTTTACTGGCTAAAATGACCTTACAGACGGTGCTGTGTGAGCTAGTGCATTGTTGTGGTGCAAGAGCCATGAATTGTTGGCAAAAAGTTTAGGTCATCTAAATTTTTCAGTCTTTTCAGCACTTCCATATAGTAAACTTGGTTAGCTGTTTGTCCAGTTGGTACAAATTCATAATGAATAATCCCTCTGATATCAAAAAAGTTAGGAACGTCATTGCAATAAGTTCACAAACTTAATTGTCAGACCTCATATTTGGTGATGAAATATGGCAAAATAACATCCGAAGATAGAAATACTCAATAATTGAAAAATAAATGCTTCCCAGTGTGGAAATCCAGGATTGATCATAACCTATCAACATCTTCTTTTCTAAGAGTTGGCAAATTTTTCTGTTTTTATCCACCAGATGGTAAATATTTTATGCTTTATGGACCACATGGTTTCTATCACAATTACTCAGCTCTGCCATTATAGTATAAAATCAACCATAGACAATACATAAACAAATGGGCAAGGTTTTGTTCCAATAAAACTTTATTTATAAACATAGGCAATGAGTGGGATTTGACCTGTAGGCAATAGTTTGCCAACCTCTGTTCTAATGAATCTACAGAGGAAAACACCTAGGCATTCATTTTCCAGGTCCATGATCCAAGTCACTAAGGTTATTACTTTGGAAGATGATGCTTGTGATGCACCAGCAGTCAGCTACGTACTTAAATTTGATCTTCTTTCTTCCAGTGTTAAGAAGGAATTTGTAAGCATTCTTTCACCCATTTGCATAAAATACAAAACTGAGGGACAAAACAATTACTTCTCTTGAAAGGCATACCTGAGGAGTAATGAGGTCTTTGCTAGGGTAAGCATTGAGGTTTCTTTAAGTTTGAGGAGGTAAATGTCAAGAGGTTTGGGTGGGAAAGTGTTAGAAACAGTATGTGCAAAGAACAAGAAGTCGTGGAGAACATATTGTGTTTGGGAAACTGGATTGAAATATCACCTGTTGGATGGAGGATATCACCTGTTGGATGGAAGATGATAGGCGGCATTAGGAAATGCATTTGGGAATGTAATAGTGGGGCAAATCATCATCAGATGTGTCTTTCATGTCGAAGAGTTCAAACTTGTTTGGGATGGCATGGGGAAAAGAAGTTGGTCATTCTGTGCTGGCCTATTCATATAATCTCTGTATAACTACCCTCATCCCATGCCTCCTCAGAAATTAATAACAAATTAATAGCAATTTATATGGTAGCAAGTCAGAGCCAGCTGTTAGCGCCACCTACAGCCAACAGCAATAACAACACTACCAACAATGAAAATAAAACACAGATGCATTTATATTACAGGAAGACATTCCTTCCAAGATGCTATGTGCTATCAAGTGACATCACTTAAATATATACTTTTCCCTTAAAAGAAATTACAGAGTAGAACCAATAGTATAATTTGTAATCAAATATTCAAATAATTGATCAGATATGTGACTTATACCCAATGCCATTCTATCTAGAAAATTACAGTATCCATTAGCCTCAAAATCATTTTACCATATTTCACATCCATGTTCCTAAAGCCAGTAGATCCTTTTGGAATTTGTAAACTGTTTTATACTTCTAATAGGAATATTTCACAGTAAAATAATGGAGGCTTTAAAGATTTGAAATAAATGTATACTATGATAAGTAAAATAACATATTCCAGACTCTCTTTCATCCCTAGCTTCCTCACACACACACAGAAAAGTGCAGTCAAGTAATTTTATGATAAAAATAGACATATTAGAAAGAGCACAATACCATCAATCTTAGGTTCATTGGTGTTACATCCAATTTGATATTGTATCATCATTTCTACTCTTTTTTTTCTCAAAATGGATTTTTATTGTGAAAATTAACATCAGTGATCCAATATGATTTTCAAAAGTGAGGAAAATATAGTGGTTACAAAGTGATATCTGCTCATTGTTATTGATTTAGAAGGAGCATAAACCTCAGTTTGAAAATGCAGGTTGCCAGCCATGAAACTTGTTTTCAACCAATAAGACTCTCAAAGCATCTCATTGTTTCTACTCTTGCTGATAAAAATATTTTGTGGATTTACAGATTTGTAAACGGCACCGTTACTTTTCAGATACTTCAAAATAGTAGCTGCCACAATTGTTTTAACAGGTCTTGGTTAAACGTCACTTTCTCCAGGAAGCCTTCCCTGACCTCCTAATCTTGGTTGGTACCTCTTCTTTGCATTCCCATGGCACCCTGCACTTCCACTCACAGCACTCCACACAGTGCCTGGCTACCTATCTATTGTCTAGGCTGTATGCTCCTTAAAGATGGTCCCATGTCTTTGTCATTCACCCTTATGTCCCATGGCCTTGCCTGTAAATGGTCTTCAGTGATTTGTTAGCTGAATAAAGCAAAGTTTTTTTGCGGGGGTGGGAGGAGAGGGGAACTAAGTCAACACCTTATCTTTCTATTACACCATTTTTGTTCATTATACATGTCTATTTCATCCTTTCAGGTTCAGTGAACCCTTCAACAGGTCCTGCACTGAATGTCACAGAACCTACCTTTGACACCCATCCTTCTCCAGCCAACAGTGTATCTCCTACAGGTAAGAACGTTTTTCCACTGTTTTAATCTCCATGCACTATTAATCCTTTAATGAAGCAGATTGATAAAGAAAAGAAATTCAGAAAATTTGTAATTTCTCTTCTATGGCATTTTAGATGTTAACTATTTAGAAAATAGTACTTAACATGTTAAGTACTATTTTCTTGGTTTCTATGAGTTAAGAGTTAACACAGCATCCAAACCTCTTCACCTGAAACCTTGGCAAAATCAGGGTCAATAAATATTCAATAAGAAATTTAATTTTGTGTTTATTATTAAAGAGGTTAATGCATTGACAATCCTCTTTCATAGCTGTGTTCTCAGTGGGGTGTTTAAGAAATTGGTAGTAAATGGGGATCCTGTGAACCAAAGGTAGGTAGATAGCTTTAAATTTAAATTTGTTCTGGTTCAAGTTAATGTTTACCAAGTTGACTGGTAAGGAGTATGAATTCAACCTCTCAGTGGCGTCGTTAATAAAGGAGGTCAGGCTGGGCCAGTGTTTCTATGGCAAAGGGATGTCAGCATCTTTCAGAAGTTGGCATTTATGCAAACAGATCATAAATTCCCATGTCCTTGGCTTCTGTGTTTAACAAAGTTTTCCTTGTTATTTAATTAAAACTATTAATTTTAGCTCAAGATGAGAACTGAAATTGAAATAAAAAGTAGTCAATAGGATTAAACAATTTCTTTAGCCTGTAGCCTTTGGCATATAGCCTGCAGTCACTGTCGCAGGATGATACCCCTCAGTAAATGAAGCATGTGGCAGAGTGAGAAATACCTACAAATCACCCATTAGAAGGTTTACATCCATCCGATATTTCCTAGTTCTTAAAACTTTGTAATTTTTGGTAAGCCTCTTTTTCTTTCACTTCTAACTCATCATTCAGCAATAAACCATAGTAAGTTATTCATTTAAATGTTTTTCATTTAACAAATATTAGTATATTCAAAAATAATACCTTAAATTCTGTAGTACCCTATGGATTATTTATCCATTACTGCATAACAGATTACCCCCAAACTTGGCAACTTATAAAACATATCTTGTCTTACCTGGTTTCTAGGGGTCAGAAATACAGGAGTGGTTCAGCAGGCGGTGCTGCTCAGGTTCTTATATGAGGTTGGAGTCCAGCTGTTGGCTAGGGCTTCAGTCAGCTGAAGGCTTGACTGGGGCTGAGGGTTCTGCTTCCAAACTTGAGCATGTTGGCAGCGAGTATAAGGCCTTGAGCAAAGAAAGGCCTCTGTGGGTTTATTCAGTCAGATGTTACCTAAGAGAGATGAAATAAGCTGCCCCTCGAAGTGTGTATCGTATTTATTTGACTCAGTTGATAAGCAGTCTAAACAAAGAGAACAAAATGAGCAGTTGTACATTGGCAAAGGTGTTCATGGGAATTTGAGAAAATGTTAGTAGCTATGCTTGGGTCAGAGGAGTGAGACTGTGTAGCAGAAAAACAGAGGTGAAGATTGGAAAATGCAGAATAAAGAGAGCTTTACGGCCCATACTAAGGATTCTAAATGTTATCCCCTAGGGATACCACTAAATATATTTTTAGAAAGGAAATGACACAATTCATTCATCATATATTTATTGAGCACTTACCATGTGCAAGATATCCTTCTAGGTGCTGGAAATACAGCAGTGAACAAAAGAGAAAAAAAATTATGACAGCACAATATTTACATTCTGCCAGTTGAAAGCAGAAATTAACTTCTTCTAGCTGAGTTTTTTGTGCAGTTAGTTGACATACATTACATGCTTTCATCAGACCAAACAGCATTCTTATTTCTGTGAAGAAATTCAAGAAAAGGAACCTAGAACCTATTATTGCTCTAGTATTAGAAAGGGAAAGAGAGCATAAATAAATACACTTGTTAAAAAACAGGAAAAAAGTGCTACCTGATCTACTATCACACTAAGGTGACATAGTTGGGAAATTTCTGGAAAATCAAAAGAACTCCTTGAAATAAGGTTCCATCATGCTGGACCTCAGGATTGTGTTAGACCAGTGGTTCTCACCATGGCAATTTTTTTCCCCCTACCACTTTCCAGGGGTGTTTGGCAGCGTCTTGGGACATTTTTGATTGCCACAGTGGGAAGGTGGGGGGACGTGTGCTACTAGCATCTAGAATGTAGAGGCCAAGGGTGCTGCTAAACATTCTACAACACAGAACAGGACAGCCTCCACAACAAAGAATTAATTATCTGGTCCAAAATGTCAATAGTGCTGAGGCTGAGAAACCCTGTTTTAAATCCAGCTCAGGTGTAAGAGTACCTATTTCTTGCTTTACAAAATCTGGACCTCTTTCAAGATAGTAACAATAGATTATGTTTGGAACGATACTTAGTCTGGTTTTTACATGTCAAAAAATGTTTACTTAATGGCTGATTATATCTAATAAAATGTTTTACCTTAAAATAATCACTGAATTACAACTGAAAAATACAAATTTTGTCTTGGCAAGCTGAGGGGGGTAATTGTGAAATCACAGGATGACTGGCTAACTCAGAAGCTGGTAGGATTTACCTTTGTGTGTTCTTTTAAGAAAGGAAGTGAGCGAGATGGAACATGTCATGGAAACCAACTTCAAAAGGCTATGGTTTCATTCCAAATTCTAAGATGTAATGAACTATATAATTCAGTCATAATTATTAAGCTTCATATTTTGCTGCAAACATCTAATTCATACTTTTTTCCTCAGTGAAAGCGTATTTTTTTAAACAAATGCTGATGAAAATGGAAACAATATTCTTTAACTAGAGAATATAGCTCATAACAAACTGCAAGAGCTACCCAGGGAAACCCATCTCAATTCAACCCGAACTGATTGGTGTTTGCTGAGTCTCAGCTGCATTTCCTGTCCTCAGAAAAGACATGAGGCTGACAAACTAAGTGGCGAGATGAAACAAGCCCACATGGAGCAGTCAGAGGCACCTAACAAATCTATGGTAGGACAATACTGGCATAACTCAGGGGTCCTCTTGCCCTGTGACTTCTAACTCACTGGCTGTGAATTGCCTAGAGGCTATTTATTCTACAAATATACATTGAATGCCTACGATATGCCAGGGATTTTTGAGGTGCTGGGATACAGTGATAAACAAGACAGGCAAGGCCCCAGTTGCACAGAGCTTACAATCTAGCATGATCCACCACTTGCCTAGCCTCCCATTTCATAATTGACCAGGCCACAGGCGCCCTCCTCTTTTTTGTCTGTGCACGACCCTTGTCCTGATGACACTGATATTGATATGAAGCCCTCTCTAAAAACTTAGCTGGTTCCCACAGTCTGAATATTTCTATTCCTGGACGCTTTCAGTTACCATTGGCCAGCTCCTCCCCACACCTGAACCTTGGCAAGTAGGGGAGTCAGACACTGAAGGTATAGACTGAAAGGAGCAGCTGCCCAGAGGATGCAATGAAACTACTGATTTATGAGGAAACATGTTAAAAAGAAGTGGGGGATTAAAGTGGAAACTATGTCATTGGATGAGATTAGTCGAATACAAATCCTGGGGGAAGCAAATCAGAAAATCAGTGGTAGGTCTTAAAGTTGGGTTCTAAAGTTAAGAGGTGGTAGGTTCCCGGAGAGAGTCGGCAAGGCAGTGAGAAGACTCTGGTGATGTGTTATGATAGCAATTTCTGACAGCGCTAGTCATGCCATGCTATCCAGATGCCTCTATTGTTGTCTGATAGCTTCTGCATTTTATCATATGTATCCAGGCACCAAAAAGTAAGAAAAATAAGTGAATACTGGGTGAGAGGAGTAGAATCAAGGAAGTCTGCACAGGGGATCTGGAAGGAAAATATAGCTGCAAAGAAAGATAAGAGGGGGATCTTTAGACAATGGTCTTGAGCAAAGACAGAATAAAATGAGTGCAGGACATGAGAAGTCAAGTAGGATGAGTGCTGGCAGTGGTTGTTGGGGAGGGAGCTGAAAGGTTGCTTAGATGAGGTGGAACCAGGTGACCGTGACCTTAGGTCAATGGACTATATGGACTTGGGCTACGATCTGAACATCACTGAACAGCAACTCGGACTTTTTGAATATGTGAATAATCTGAATAAAACAGAAGCTATATGCATGGTAAATAGTAGCAGCAAGAACAGGGAGCAAGAAGACCAAATGATGTAGAGTTCAAGTGATTTAAAGTGATGATATTCTGAACGAGAATGTATATATGTAGAAATGGAGAGTACTGCACCAGGAGACTCAGCAGGGTTGTCTGCCTACATATGGGGGTTAAATAAAAGGTTTTCAGGAGACTATCATACAAGGGCCTTCTAGTTTTTTTCCTAGTAATTACCAAAAGAGTTTTACCAACTGCCATAATTGTATTAATAATATTAAGCAGTAATATTAACAATATTTGTTAATATTTGAGTGCCTGGCACCGTTCTAAACTAATAAATGCATTACTTCATTTAATCCTCCCAACAACACTAATATAGATACTGTTATTATCAGCATTTTACAGATGAAGCTACTGAGGCACAGAGGTTAAATAACTTACCCAAAGTCATGCAGAGAGTGGAAAAGCCAGGGCAGAGCCTAGACAGTTAGACTTTGGAGACTGAGTTCTAGTGCCTCAGAGAGCACATGATGGGTGCTCAGTAAATATCTTTAAGCACTGACTAAATCCCTTCAAATGTGACTCTGGCATGGCTGTTATGAAAAGGTCATGACAGCTGTGCCTTTATTAATCTTACTCTCCTCTGAACCAGTGTTTTCTGAAAAATGCAGCCTCCAAGAGAGGGACTCACTTCCTCAGTTGGAAATAAATGAGAGAAAAAGAGCCTCCTCCATTTGTTACCGCTCTCCCTCCCGACATTATTGTAATATAATTCTTATTGCCCAGAGATATATACAGAATCCATATAAATCTCCAGTGCTTTCTCTTTAATCTTAGAAAGTTCTGGTCATTGCATTTTTCTCACCACATTTCACCTGGAAATATGTTACAGGTTGTTAGAGAACTTCTCATTTTTTTCATACCTGTCA